TCTCGACCCTGGATCTGAGGCAGGAGATGCGGTCCCCGCGAGTTTTCAAGAGCTTCCTGAGTACGTGCCAGGCTCGCCCGGATCCCCTCCAACCCTCCAGCCTCCCTCCCTGAATTCCAGTTCTTATCGCCGAGACCCCTGTTCTCCGTTCTCGTCCGCGGCCCATGCCTGAGTCGACAGCCCCTTCACTGATTCCGGCCCACCTCCTCTGAGCCTGAACTCACGCTCTCTGCTCCCATCTACTTCTCCTGCCCCGACCCTCTTCCTCTCTACCCCTCTCTAAGCCGTAGTCCCGTCGTCTCTGAACCCCCTCTCCTCTTCCCAGACCCACTTTTCCAGGTGCTGAGCGTGTTTTTATCCCTACTAGGAGAGGTGCTGGTCACTGTGTACAGGTCAGAGGGAGGAAAGGGGGAGCCCCAGGGGCTGCTCTTGAGAGGAGGTGGGGAGCGGGCCCCACACGGCTGAGGTTTGAGCCAATTCAGACCTGGTTGAGCCGTGTTCGTAGGAGTTGCTGGATCTAAGAGCCTGGGGTGGGGGCTGTGGGGTTCACTAGGGTCCTGGGGCCTCAGCCTCCCTCCGGTTCTTCAGGGAAGTCTGTTCCATTCGCTTCCTGCTCACGGCTGTGTCACTGCTGAGCCTCTTTCTGACAGGTGAGGTGGTGAATTCCCTGGGGCCCCAGCCCTGGATGCTTTGGAGCCAAACCAGGCGCATTTTCTCCTATAGCCCTCTGCCCCTTCCGCTCTCCGCAGTCTCCTTCAGAGCCCGGTAGTCCCCCCTCAGACTCAAACCCCTCAGCCTCTTCTTCATTGTCCTTTATGCCAGAGAAACCCTGTTCCCCTTCCTTCCCCTGAGACCACCCCCCTCTTTCTCCAGCACTCTGGTGGGGTCTCCTGTACCTGGTCCCTCCTTTGGAGAGTGTGAGTCTGGGAAACTGTCCTGGGGTGGGTGGGTGGCAGGCTATGAAACTGGAGATTGTGGGGTGTCCCTTGGGCTGCCGGGAGGAGGGACAGTGCTGGAAGGGCTGATATAAATAGGGGATTTCTGAGATTGTGTCCCGAGGTGCTTGAGGGTCTCTGAGGGGTCCTGGAAGGCCAGGGGAGGGAATGGCAGTCCGCAAAAGGAAGGCCCTTGCAGTCTGGCTGCTCTCAGACGAAAGTGGGACAAGGGAGTGGGTGGGAACTGAGCAGCGCTGTATTTTGTCCCTCCCTCCAATAGGAACCTGAGATGCTGACTATAAGGTGAAAGTTGGCACCCGGGGTGTGGAATTGGGGGACTCAAAGGTGCTCCTGTGGCGGGGCTTACGGGAAGTGTCCCGGGAGCAGGGAGCCAACCACACTGTGCCAACCTCCTGCCTGCAGCGAGTACCACGAGCGCGTGCGCACCCAGGGGCAGCAGCTGCAGCAGCTGCAGGCCGAGCTGGATCAACTCCACAAGGAGGTGTCCAGCGTTCGCGCAGCCAACAGCGAGGTGAGCCCTGCCGCATCCTGCTCTTACAGCCAGGACCCAGGGGTGTCCAAGAGCTCCGCCTGCTGCACTGCCCCGTTCGCTGGGTCCTGAACCTTAAAGCCCTGCCCCAGAGCCCCAACTTCGTGATTTCTCTCGGGGCCACAAAGTCCATACCAGACAACTATAAAATCAGCCCGCAAGCCCCGTCCTCCCTCTTTTCAGAGAGTGGCCAAGCTCGTATTCCAGAGGTTGAATGAGGACTTTGTTCGAAAACCCGACTATGCGCTGAGCTCTGTGGGTAAGACCCACGGACACTGAGAAACTGAGACACGGAAAGACGCAGACATTGACATAGACCTTTACACATGACCGACCCTAGGAGTCCGACCTCCGACAGACCCTGACCCAGCTGCTGGTCCGGCCTGGGAGTCTGAGTGGTTGCTTCTTCCGTTCCAGGAGCCTCCATCGACTTAGAGAAGACATCCCGTGACTACGAGGACGCAAATAGCGCCTACTTCTGGAATCGCTTCAGCTTCTGGAACTATGCGCGGCCACCCATGGTTATCCTGGAGGTGGGCCTGGAACACGGATCCTGGAGCGGGCCTGGGGGTGGGACGCTGGGGAACGAACCCAATAGCTCTCTGGAGGTGGGACCTAGCTGAGCCGAGATGGGGGCGGGGCCCTGCGGGGCCAATGGGCCGGGCTGAAGCTTCTTTTGCTGAGAAACCTGGCAAGAGGTAGGGACTGGGGACTGGGGACGGGGGAAGGCTCTATCTAAGCAGGTGCTCGGACTGGAGGTGGAGGTGGAGGACTGAGCCCGGCGGAAGACTCAGTCGAGCTGAGAGCGCTGCCATTGTGGACCCATGCTCAGGCTGGAGAAGGGCAAAGTCGCTCCGTCTTCGGATTCTGATCGACTGACTGTCCTGTCCGATTGCAGCCAGATGTGTTCCCTGGGAATTGCTGGGCTTTTGAGGGCGACCAGGGCCAGGTGGTGATCCGGCTGCCGGGTCGTGTGCAGCTGAGCGACATTACCCTGCAGCATCCTCCTCCCAGTGTGGCACACACCGGGGGGGCCAACAGCGCCCCCCGCGATTTCGCAGTCTATGTGAGTGGGACTGAGGCCAAGGAGGTGGGGGATTTTTCTTAGAAAGCACCAGGCAGGCACTCATGAAAACCGGTGCCAACGAGTCTTCACTTGTGCATCTATAAACTGGAGATACCATTTGCCTGTCAGGGTTGCCATAGGTTATAAGTCATTACAACCATATCCAAATACTAATTGTGGTTTAATGAGCGCTAACTCTGCTTTATCTCCTTGCATTTACACAACTTAAGTTCCTTGTACAGATGAGAAAAGTAATGCTTAGAAAGGGGACCTTACTTGCCCAAGGTCACACAGTTAATTGGCCAGACTACAAATTGCAGCCGGGTTTCTCTGAGCCCACATTCCACGCTACACTATCCCAACACCAAACATAAGAGCATGCATACAGCTACTAACACATACATAGCAGGTCCTCCAAGTTGCTTTCTCCACCTGTGCCTCACTGTTCATTCACTCTTCATCTACCAGGGCCTCCAGGTTGATGACGAGACGGAAGTTTTCCTGGGGAAATTCACCTTCGACATGGAGAAATCTGAGATTCAGACTTTCCACCTACAGGTGTGTTTGTCTCAGGATGAGGGTGCCAAGGGAGTGGAACAGGGAGGGAAGATTGGGGAGGAAGGCAGTCCTTGGCACAATCCATTTGTCTTCCCAGAATGACCCCCCAACTGCCTTTCCCAAGGTGAAGATACAGATTCTAAGCAACTGGGGTCACCCCCATTTCACATGCTTGTATCGAGTCCGAGCCCATGGCATGAGAACCTCGGAGGAAGCAGGGGACAGTGCCACAGGGGGGCCCAATTAAACATGCTGATTGTTAAAATAGAGTGGAGGTGTGTGCTCAAAGAAGCTGGAGCTGGATCAGTGCTGGAGGGTCTGTTGGGAGCTGTGGTTGCCTTTGGTATATAAATATGATAGGGGGGTCTACCTCCCAATGCAGCCGCTCTTTTCTTGGAGAAGCCCAGGTCAATATAGTAGTAGCAGCTCATGTTTATGGATGTTTCCATGTAAAAGAGATGGTACTTTGGACATTACAAACTTTATCTAACTAATCCTCACAACCACCAAGGGGGAGACCACTCAAGGTTATATACCTAGGGAGGAACAGCATCACAGAGGCACCCAAGCCCACCTTCCTCCAGAGCTGCCAGTCAGCCTGAAGCCATGCTGTGAACCTGTTCCCACTCCCAGCCTCTGGGAAAGCCGCCTTTCCTCAGGTAAACACTCAAAAACTGAGGCTTAAGAACTAGGAAGCATCTAAGTCAGATTTGATGCAGGCCTCGTAGCCCCTACTTAGGTTATCTTCACTGAGACCTCAGTGCCCAACTCAATACTAGGCACAATACAGATGGTCTAGTGTTCACCAGTCTCTGTCCTCAAGAAGCCTGGTAGGAAAGAGAAGATGTTCCAGAAACAGCAATTCATTTACTGATCCAAGAATTCTTCATTAAAAAAGAATGAGAGGAATAAAGGATGGGGACAGTCATCAAAGGGTTAATGAGTTCTACCTGGGCAGAGCAGAAAAGGGTGACCAGTATCAGCAAAGACACAGCATCTTGGCTGTTAAAATCCTTCCCCGTGTGTTCATGTTTTGGAAGAATATACGCACTATTAACAATGGTAACCCTCTGGGAAGTGGACTGGAGCACATACCCATCTGTTAATTTGGGGGTATTTTGTAATTGGAAGACAAAGGAAAAAGGTTCTCTCAAATGGCCTCAAGCCTAAAATTAGAAATACGAACTCTCACACAGCTTTTCTGGAGGGCAGTTTCACAATAGGAACCAAAAGCCTTAAAATTTGTATACTCTTAATCACTGCAATTCCATCTTTTTTTTAAAAACATATTTTATTGATTTTTTTACAGAGAGGAAGGGAGAGAGATAGAGAGTTAGAAACATCGATGAGAGAGAAGCATCGATCAGCTGCCTCCTGCACAGCCCCTACTGGGGATGTGCCTGCAACCAAGGTACATGCCCTTGACCGGAATTGAACCCGGGACTCTTCAGTCCCCAGTCTGACGCTCTATCCAGTGAGGCAAACCGGTTAGGGCTGCAATTCCATCTTTATGGATCCAAAGGCTACACAGATGTAATAAAAAAAATACTTTAAAAATATTTTTATTGATTTATAGAGAGGGTAAGGGAGGAAGAGAAACATCAATATGAGAGAGAAACATCAGTTGCCTCCTGTATGCACCCTGACCGGGACCAAACCCACAACTCGGGCATGTGCCCTGACCAGAAAATAGAGAACCAGCAACCTCTCAGAGAACAGGACGATGCCCAACCAATTATTGAGTCACATTAGCCAGGGCCAAAGAAAATACTTTTAAAAATATTCATCACACGGTTTATAAAGAAAAAAACTCAAAATAGCATCTAAGAAGATAAATCATGTTACAAAAATTATATGTAGCCAATAGAAATGGTAATAAAAGGTAATGTTATAGAAAGTAATTGATATATGACTAATTTCTTTAAAAGCAAGCTAGACTGCCCTGGCCATCATCCCAATCACCAAGAGGTTGCAGGTTCAATCCCTGGTCAGGGTGAAGGTGGGAGGCAACCAAGCGATATTTCTCTCACATCAATGTTTCTTTCTCTCCCTCCCTCCTCTCCCCCTCCTCTAAAATAAATAAATCATGCATATCCTTGGACAAGGATTAAAAAAAAAAGGCAAACTAGACTGGCATACATAAAAAAATTTTAACTTCCATATGAAAAGAGTTCTATAAACCAAAAGATACTATACAGTAAACAAAGAGTGTCCTGGGAAGAAATATTTTCAACATGTAAAGAAAGAACTGAATAATGATAGAATAAAGGCTATAAAAACCTATAAATACGTGGCTTAGTTGGTTGAGTGTGGTCCAGTGCACCAAGAGGTTGCTGGTCAGGGCACATGCCAAGATTGCAGGCTCAATCCCAATAGGGGGCATGCAGAAGCAACAGATTGATGGTTCTCTTTCATTGATGTTTTTCTCTCCCCCTCTCTCTAAAAAAATCAATAAAAATATATTAAAAGACTAAAAGTACAAACCTGTAAATAGGCTATCCATAAGAAATAAAATTCATACGCCAAGGTACAAATTGATGCTTCTGTTTCTCTTCCTCTCTCTCTAAAATCAACGCATTTAAAAAAAATAAAACAAAAGCATATGAAATAACCTTCATAACTAAATTATTTTATTTTATATTATTATTATTGCCTTTCAGATAACAGAAGGGGTAAAACCCTTGCTATTGAGGGCAATTTACAATATTAAAAATTTAAAGAAATGTTTTTATTGGTATTTTAGAGAGAAGGGAGAGGGATAGACAGAGATAAACATTGAACATCATGGATGGCTGCCTCCTGCATGCCCTCCACAGGGAATTGAGCCCACAATCCAGGCATGTGCCCTGACTGGGAATTGAACCTGTGGCCTTTTCATTCCTGGGTCGATGCTCAACCGCTGAGCCATACTGGCTGGGCACAATATAAAATTTTTAAATATACTGACTTAACATTTCCATTTCAAGGAACAAATCCTTCAGAAATACCCCTGTAAATGCTGTTAAACAATTCGGGCTTGTGGCCTATTTTAGGACTAGAACTCCACTGCTCCCTCCCCAGGAGATCTAGCATAGCCCTTGCTCCATCTTAAAGCCCATCCCTCCCCTAATACTTTCCACCTTGTCCTGCGTTCCCAGCTCAGTTCCGCCCTGAGGCAGGCCAGGTTGGGTATTTGGTTTACATTCAATCTTTGTATTTTCAAAAATAGAGTCAGTGTCCCTAGATATCTGGGTAGAAATACCCTATTTCTTTGAGTGAGGCTATTATGTAAGAGGCATCCTTTATTCAATCCCTAAAGTCAACAATAGGCTCAGAGAGAAGCAAACATGGCTAATAGCAGATTCCCACCAAAAAACACACAGAGTGGTTGACAAAGTAGTGGTCGTCATTGATCTTTATTGAATGAGGGGCTCCAGGGGCAAAAAGGTACAATCAGGAGCAGCAATAGCAGGGGCAAATATAAAAGTATAAAATATAAAGTGCTAGCACTGAGGAGTGTGTGCAGGGGTGGGCGCTGGTGCACATGGACCTTGGGGACTCAGGGCTGAGGACCAGCCACAACCTACCCTCCAGGAGAATCTAGGGCTGAGGGGCCTGTGCAGGAGCCTTGGCTGGGAGTGGAAGCGGCTTGCAGGGGGCCCAACCTTGGGCCTTGAAGTAGGAGACCAGTTGTCCAGGTACTTCTGCAAGCACAGTCTGTGCCAATGCCTCCCGAGGAGCCTGCCCAGAGAAGAGGGGCAAGGTCAGTGGGGGCCCATAACAGCTTCCCAAGGCCTACATATTATACCCATGAAGGGATATAAAACCCAATACCCAACCCTGCCCCAGACTTAGATGAAAGGGTATCTCTAACCTCTTACATCAGGGAAAGGTAGAAGGGTAAACTCCCAGACCTGGTCTGACCCCAAGCTTGACCCCACTCACATTCTGAAAGCGGCGGTAAGGCACAAACTGCACTATGTCACGGGCAGCTCCCTCCCCGGAACGTGTACGCAGGGGTCCACCATCAGCATCCAGCTGCTCCATGGCCTCGAAGTCAGCACCACCCACACCCACAATGATCACTGACATGGGCAGGTGAGAGGCACGAACTACAGCCTCACGTGTGGCCTCCACATCAGTCACAGCACCATCAGTTAGTAGCAACAGCACGAAGTATTGCTGGGGACAAGAGGATTCATAACCTGAGTCAGACCTTTTAAACACCCCAGCCACACATTCCCACACTGACAAGAGCCCTCAAGGGAGCCACTGACTGAGACCATCCCACAACTCCCACAACCCTCACCGAGGCAGTCCTCTGATGTGCAGCCTGAGCTGCAAACCTGGCTACATGGTTGATGATGGGTGCAAAATTGGTGGGGCCATAGAGGCGAACTTGGGGCAGGGCTTGACGGTAGGCATCCACAATACCCTGGATACCTAGAGAAGAAGGGCAAAAACACTATAAAATACTGGTACACTCGGGACTGACCCAGGCCTGACATCACCCCATCCTGGGTGAGGAGATTTGGGAACCTGGTGCATTTCATTCAATCACCCTGGTAACCCAGGAGACTTAACCTTATCCTACAAATGAGGAAAGTAAGGCCAAAGACAGGAGGGACACTTGCCCTATATCACAGCTTGAATTAAAACCCAGTTTAGGGGAATACCCTGAAAAATCCAAGGCAATTGAGCATTAAATTACAATTCAATAAGATAATGAATTACAATCCATTTAATAAAATATTAAATAATGTGAGATAAGGAAAAGCTCTTCCTTAATAAAAGCAGAAGGAAGAATTACAAAATAATTTGACAATCAGAAATAACTGATTCAGGTAAAGATCATCAATGGATGCTACAACTAGAAGGGGTAAAAGATGAGTAGTTAGATATATGTATAAAAAGATACTTATTCATTACAAAGAGAAAAACAGAATTTGCACAGCAGGGAAACCTGGTAGACTCTACCTTAACCAAGTGATCAAAGTTAACATGACCCGTAATAGGATAAATCAACAACATGTGCCTCCTGATGTGGTGCACCAAGAAGAAGGCACAGCATCACTTCCGGGATATTCCCACCAAAAATGCATAATCTGAATCTAATTATGAAAAAATATCAGGTAAACCCAAACTGAGGGGCATTCTACAAATTATCTAGCCTGTAATCTTAAACAATGTCAATATCATGAAAGACATGAACTCAGGAAGACAAAACAATTGAATGCAACATGTGACATAAGGTTTTCTTTTACTGTAAAAGACAGGACAATTGAAGAGGGAGAGAAAAAAAAAGATAGGAAAATTGGCAAAGTTTGAATAAATTCGATAGATTGGATAATAGTATTGAAGTTAATTTTCTGACTTTGAGAACAGTACTGTAGTTACGTAAGAGTGTCTTTGATTTTAGGAAACACACACAAGTATTTAGGGTTAAAGGGCCATGTGCATGATGATGGGCACCAATTTACTACAATTCTTAAACATTTCAGAAAAAAAAGTGTGTGTGTATTGAGAGAGAACTTGAGTGAGAGAATAACAAAGAAATGTGGTGAAATGTTCATGTTTGGGGAATCTGGGTAAAGGTAAGCAACAGTTCCTGTGACCCAGGCCCTGACCCCTGAGCTCCAAGGACGTGAACCCCCTATAACTAGTCATAACTTTTCTATAAGTCTGAACTCATTAAAAAAAAAAAAAGGCAGATTAGGTAAAGTTTTCCACTTCGGCTTGTTGCCCATAAAGAGTAGCTAAGGCCCTAGCCAGTTTGGCTCAATGGACAGAGCGGCAGCCTGCAGACTGAAAGGCTCCAGGTTCAATTCTGCTCAAGGGCACATGGCTGAGTTGCGGGCTCAATCCCCAGTGGGAGGGCATGCAGGAGGCAGTCAATCAATGATTCTCTCTCACTGATGTTTCTCTCTCTCCCTCTCCCTTCCTCTCTTAAATATATATATTTTTAAGAGTAGCTGGAGAGCCACAAGGTTTGGCCCTTTTTAGACAAAAGAGCTTGGTCCATAAAGCACCCTGAAAAGAGCTGATGCCTTTTTTTTTAGGCAAAGAGCATACTACAACACAGTGATGGCGAACCTTTTGAGCTCGGCGTGTCAGCATTTTGAAAAACCCTAACTTAACTCTGGTGCCGTGTCACATATAGAAAGTTTTTGATATTTGCAACCATAGTAAAACAAAGACATATTTTTGATATTTATTTTATATATTTAAATGCCATTTAACAAAGAAAAATTAACCAAAAAAATGAGTTCGCGTGTCACCTCTGACACGCATGTCATAGGTCCGCCATCACTGCTATAACAGCTACCATTTTTTTTAGAGAGCAATTCGTTATGTACCAGGCTTATTGCTTCAAATTTTATACACATCCTCTCCTTAAATATTCAATATCCTACAATACTGTAATCCTACAGCACACGGAGGCTAAGCAGCTGGCCCCAAAACACATGGTTAGTAAGTGGCAGGTTGAAGGTTTGACTCCAGAGGCCTACCTCTAAAATCCATTCTGCTGGACAATGGAGTCACTTTCCCTTGCCACCACAGGCTTGGCCCTCTAGTTGTGAACAGACCTGCCTTACTCATTACAAAGAAAAATGGGACTTACCTGTACAGTAGGGGTTACTGGGGTTGAAGTTCAAGGCAAATTCATGGGAGACCTAAGGGCAAGAATGAAAATGAGGTCTTCCCCCTCTGATCACCTTTGTACTCAGAAAAAGGGCATCATGGTATGTACCAGGCATCAAAAAGGAGGTATTTAGTCCTAAGCACTTGCTGTACACATGCCTGTAGAGTTGCAACCATGAATAAAGCTGGGTGCCAGACAGCAAGTGCACTGCATCCCCCAAAATCATGACTCTGAAATGGAAAACACAAGTATGATAGGGGAAGAGAGTACTCACCTGCCAGTCAGGAGGCACCTGGGCCCCAAATCCAAATGCAGGGAACATCTTGTCCCTGTAGGAGAACAGTGAATTGGGAAAGAGGCAGTGAGGACACTGTCAGCCCGGAGACTGAAGCATCTGCAGGGAGTGAGGATGGGCAAGAGGAGCAGCTACTCACGAGTCATAGTCCTGAACCACACAGCCCACACTCCAGAGTGCTGTCAAGTACTCGTTGACCCCTGTTGGGCTCAGGTAGTGCAGGGAGTCAGGTGAAGAGGGGTCTCCATTGGAGCCTGTAAAATCCACGCCCACCTAGGGGGATAGGAGGAGGGAAGCTGAAGGCCACCTTGAGCCCCAGATGGGTTCTCTTGCTCCTGGTAAAGCAACTTACAGTAAAGTTGATTTGACAGCCTCCCATCACATAGTCCAGGAATGAATACTCTGTTTCCACCTGCAGATGAAACCAGGGTCATGACGAGTAAAGGGGTTGGGGCCATGGAGCTCAGGGGTCACAGCTTGGGTCTCATGGGTTATTAGTCTCACCTGGCAATTCTTGACACGGATAGTTCCAGAGTTCTTGTAGCTTTTCTTTTTCTGCTGTTTCTCAGGGTGGATGCATTCAAACTCAACCTGGTGAGGAAAGAAAAATTAGGGTAGGGAACTCTGAGAGCATCAGCCAAAACTGAATGAAGCTGCTCTGCACTCTTCTCCCCGGAGCAGGGCCAGCACTCACCGGGGCTGCTTGCAGCTGGGCCAAGCTGGTGTGGAAGGTACCAATGAGATCATGTGAACCATCACTGTCATAGTCTGAGCATCGCACCTGGGGGGAGGGGGAAGGGAGATGTGTATGTAAATGAAGAACAGGAGGTAGGTGCCAGGTAAGAATAAATCCCTCCCTGGCCTCTCTGCCCCCATTCAGTAACTCAAAAGGCAAGCTCCTCACCTGAATGTGTGTGCTGGGGTCTCCCCCACAGAAATGCTGAAGGGGAACAGAGAAGCGCTTCCACGTGGGGTTCAGGGTGTTCTTGATTACCTGAAGGTGAAGAAAGGGCAAAGCCTCCAGTGAGCTGTGGGATTGTGTGTGGGGAGCTGCCATCCTTTCTCTACCCAACGTAGGCTCTTTCTCCCTGTGTTCCAACCCTCGGTAGTCACAAGCCCCAGGAGATTCTCTTACCCCACCCCACCCAATCCCAGCGTTCTCACACCTCAGATCTGTATGTCAGGTGCCATTTCCCATCACCTTGGCGGAAGAACTCCAAGAATGGATCTGATTTCCCCAGGAAGTCCTGTCAATGCCACAGAAACCTGTTGTAAGATTGAGGGAGAAACGACGACTATGCCAGACCTCTGTCCCCACCTTGGCCCCCATCACACCACTCCAATCTCCTTAATTCTTGGGGTAGGAGAGAACCCCCACGGCCTCCTTCCACACACACCTTCTTATCTAGGTTTCTGGCCTCCACCTCCATAGTTACTACACGACTATCCTTCAACTCCTGAGCAGAGACCTAGGTAAGGGAGGAAGGAGATGGTATTACCTCATGAATTCCTCATTAACATAAAATCCCCAACTCCACCGTTTACAGAGTTCTTTCTTACCGTGATGGTCCCCAGCCCAGCAGGTTTTCCAGGCTTCAGCATCAAGGGTAGAGTTAATACCTGGCTGGACACAATCTGGGGCCCAGTAGAGAGAAAGAGGTGGTCAAGATCTCAGGCTGAGTTAAGTCCTGCTTGACCCCCACCCTCCATGTTCCAAGCAGTCTGGGTTGTCTGACAGGGCTCTTACCAAACCTGTGCCATCCCTGGCTCTACGTACCTGTCCTAGGGAACACTCAGCCCCTCCTAGGAAGTCATCATCCCCCAGCTCAGGTGTCTTGTTGTCTATGTCATAGATGCCAAACCGGAGCTTCTGGACTGTTTCAAAGTGGTACTCAAGCTGCAGAGTTTTAGAGAACTCGGGGCTCGAGCAGTTCCGTACTCGCTCAGTCCGGCCAAGCTGTGGGTAGAGGCCAATAAGCATCACAGTCACATACTTCCACCCTGAAACAATCCTAGGTTCCCTCCACAACCCTAACCCACATGGTCCTTCTCACCTCAGCCCAGTTGCCTCCTCCCACATCCTGTAAAAGGACGCAGAGTGGGTCAGACTTGGAGCCAATGTCCTTGTCAATGAGGTGGTCACAGGAAATGGACAGCTGAACCAAGGTCACACAGTGGGCCATCTAGGGAAAAAGGACCTGAGTCAAACATCAAGGGTGCTTCTCCACCCTTCCCTGGCTATATGTCTCAGCTTGGGAAGTCAAGAAGACTACACCCAGGCAGGGCTGAGCCGTGTCCACCCCAAGACATCCTCACACCAACAAGCCATTCTTAATACAGCAACCATGGTGTCCTGTTAAAACATAATTCGGGTCCTGTCACACCTATGCCCAAACCCCCTAATGATTTCCCACTGCTTAGGAAAAATTCAACCCTACCATGGCTTACAAGGTCTTAAATGATTTAGATTTTTCTAACCTGATCTACTACTACCTTATCTCTTGCTCACTACATTCTGGCCACACAGGTCTGCTTGTTTGCCACTTTTCAAAGAAGCTTATTTCTAAACCTTAAAGCATGGAATGTTATGAACCTCATATCCACGTGGCTTGCTGTTCATCTCTCCAGGTTTTTTATTCAAAATCGTCTTATGGAGGAAAAGGCTCTTTTTAATAGACATATTAAAATTTTAACCCCACTGTCACTGACACATCCTAAAGCTCTTTCTTGTGTTTACTCTTTAGTATTTGTCACTCTGTAATATCTAAATAGACATATAATTTGTCTTTCCCACTAGAATGAAAACTCCGTGAAGGAAGGGATATTTGTCTCTTCTGTTCATTGCTCTATCCCAAACACCTAGACAATAAATATTTACTGAATGAAATCCAAAAGATCACCTCCAGCCTCAACTCCCAGCCATCTCCAAATTGGCAATCAAATACCACCAAACTTCTCCAATTCATCCATTTCCTCTTCTGGAAACACTATCTTCTAGCATGAGCCACCATGATTCCCATGTAACCCCCTTCTCCTATAGTCACCATAACAATTATCCTCAGACCCTTCACTATCCTTGTGTTCCCCCTGACCCACACACCTGCAGACCACCAGAGGTGCAAATAAGGTCAGATCTCTCGTTCAGCTTAACATTCAGCATTCCAGGTTTCTCAGCACCATACCCCAGGATGCCTCCAGTCTCAGCCTCCTTTAAACTCCCTCAGTCAATCCTTCCCCAACCCAGCACAGTTAGTGCTGTTCCCATCTTGGTACTCCATGATCTTCATCTTGAATGCCATCAACCAAAGTTGGAATAATTCTTAAGAGTTCAACTTGCTTCACATACTGCCCCTCCACAGCACCTCAGCCTCTATTTGAATGCATCCAATGAGGGAAACGCACTTCTTAAAATCCACACATTAGAAAGTCCTGCTCCATAAAGTCCTACCCCAACCAAGCCAAGTCTGTTGAATTCTCACTTCTACATTAGTTCTATTTCTTCACCAGTCTAAAATTCCACAGAAAAGCCTATTCCATCTCACTCTGAGAAACCATGATACCTGGAAGCAGTGAAAACCCCTGCTAAAATCTGGAGAAACAGCCTACAATACCTACAATAGTACCTACCCTATAGTAGGTACTCAGTAAATTTTTTTTAAAATACATTTTATTGATTTTTTACAGAGAGGAAGGGAGAGAGATAGAGAGTCAGAAACATCGATGAGAGAGAAACATCGATCAGCTGCCTACTGCGCATCTCCTACTGGGGATGTGCCCACAACCCAGGTACATGCCCTTGACCGGAATCGAACCCGGGACCTTTCAGTCCGCAGGCCGACGCTCTATCCACTGAGCCAAATCGGTTTGGCAGTAAATATTTTTTAAATATATTTTTAAAAAGTATCATTGAAACCACCACATCAAAATTTTTTTACTTTACATCTGCCCATAGATTACATCTACCCATGTGATCTACGGGCTCCTTGGAATGAGGACTGGGTATTATTTCTGTATCTCTAATACTAGTGCTCAGTACATGACTAGTATTAACAACCATTTGCTAGACAAATGATGTGCTTTTGCTCAACTCAAACCTTCAGGCTTTTTCCATTTAAAGGAATGTCCTGCAGTAAATCTTTCCTACCATTATTTTTTATAATTTAAATGCAGGACTCCTGGAACTCAATATTAAATGACAGTCAATTTTAAAATGGGCAAAAAATATCAGATACTTCTTAAGGAAAAATACATGAATTGGAAATAAGCAAAGGAAGTGATCAATAGCACTTAATCATCAGGAAAATGCAAATTAAAACCACAATGAGATATTATTACATATCCATCAAAATGGCTAAAAAGTAAAAACACCAAGAATGCCAAATGCTGTCAAGAAACATGGAACTCTCATTTGCTGTTAGTGAAAGCATTAAATATACAAAGTTTGGTTAGAAAACCAAACATACACCTAGTCCGAAACAATTCCACTCCTAAATTTTTACTCAAAAGAAAATACTATGTCCACAAAAAGATTTGTACAAGAATGTGCATAGCAGTTTTATTCATAATAGCCCCAAATTTGAAACAGCTCAGGTGTCCATCAACATGAGAATGGACAAACCGTAATGTTTATATAGGTAATAGAAAACCACTCAGGCCCTAACTGGTTTGGCTCAGTGGACAGAATGTCAGCCTGTGAACTGAAAGGTCCCGGGTTCGATTCCAATCAAGGGCATGTACCTTGGTTGCAGGCACATCCCCGGTGGGGGGCTGTGCAGGAGGCAGCTGATTGATGTTTCTAACTCTCTAGCCCTCTCCCTTCCTCTCTGTAAAAAATCAATTAAAAAAAAACCCCAAAACGATCTAGTTAAAAAAAAACAAACCACTCAGCAACAAAAGAAACTATTAATATCTGCAACATGAATTTGAAGCATAAATACACAGATTATACTTAGAAAGTTTTGGAACAGGCAGAACTAGTCTATGGTGAAAATATTTTGGAATACTGGTTGTTCTTCCCTTGTCCCACAGGGTAGGGGCAGGTATTAACTGAGAAGAGGCAGGAGAGAACTCTATGGGGAATGGAAAAGTTCTTTATCTCAATAGGAATGTAAGTCACAGGTGCACTTGTTTTTTTGTGTGTGTGTATTTTTTTAGAGAGGGGAAGAGAAACATCCATCAGTTGCCTCCTGTAAATGCCCCAACTGTAACAGAGATTGAACCCACAACCTTTCGGTGTACAGGACGAAGCTCCAACAACTGAGCCACACCAGCAGGGTGCACTTGTCATTTTTACCTAAATAAAATGGTTTGTTGAATGGATATGTGTGGTAAAACAAATAAAGGAAAAATTTTCATTGTAGACCTAAACAGTGGATATATGGGTATTCACTGTACAACTTTTTCAACTTGTATGTTCAAAGTTTTTATAATTAAGTGTTGGGAGAAAATTTAAATGGAGGACTGCAGGTTTATCCCTGATAGACTTTTGTAGTGAACTACAAAAACATGAACAGTAATTATCTGTGGTGGCGAGATTACAAGCAACAACTGGAGCTGCTGCCTCTTTCATGATTTTCTCAAAGATCCCAGAGAGAGAGGCTTTTGGTCTGGGCCAAACACATGCAGTGGGCCAGGAGTCTTTTCCTATGCTAGGCCTCAATTTCTGATAGAACAGAGCATTCTTTTCTATTACCATTTTTATCTCATTACCATTTCCACCACTTTCTCCACAGCTGGTCCTATTCTATTTTTTCAATGTCTTCTCTGTCCAGACTAGAACCACAACCAGAATGCTGTGGGCCCACATGTACCTCAGCAGCATATGGAGGTCAATTCCATTCTGAGAGATTAGAGCTACCTGTATAATCACAGTTTTATTTTTTCAAAGATCTGCCTCCTTTGCTTTCTCGCTGGAATTAGCAACTCTTTATAATACGAAGTATTCTTTAAAAAATTTTTAAATCAATTTTTAGAAAGAGAGGAAAGGAGATGGAGAGAGAAAAACATCAATGAGAGAGCAAGGTATCAATCAGCTGCTTCCAGCACGCCCCCAACTGGGGATGGAGCCTGCAACCCAGGCATGTGCCTTGACCCGGAATCAAACCCGCAGCCCTTAGGTGTACAGGATGACACCCAACCAACTGAGCCACATCGGCCAGGACTATAATGTGCAGTTTTCTAGCCTTTAAGTAATATTCCTTTTAAACTATCTAATACATAGATTAATCTCTCCCAAATCCTATTTATCTCCTTTACAATCTACCTGCAAGTCTACCTCTGTTTGGAAATCTTCTATAATTAAAATTCCTAGTTCCATGTCACTCTTCCGTCCTGTATCTCTTGAACAGCTATATACTTTAAACCAGACTTGCTTACTTTCATCTAGCCCCAGTATAATTAATTGTAAGGGACTTTCAGCCTCCTTTATAGAACTGGAACTTGACAAAACCATATTAAATATCACATTTAAGTGAATCAATAAGAGAGAAGTCTCAGAAATTTTCTCATTTGTTTTTGTAAGAGAGGTCTGGCTAATACTGACCAGGTCTTGCCTGGATATCTATGTCTCCTAACTGGTCTCCCCATTTCCTCTGTCCCCTCTGATCTGTTCTCTATGTTGAGACCTTCCCTGACTCCAACCCAACAAAACCCAGCTTCTCATAAGTCTCTCAAAATGTGTCATTTATTTACTTGCCTATTATCGATTTCCCTATTAGACTATAAATTCAACAGGAGAGAGCAAATCTTGTTCCCATTCACACCAAGTAGGTGCTTCGTAAATAACTGCTGAATTAATGCTAGAAAAGGAGTAATAATTCAAGGATCCTCAGAAATAAGCCAAATCTAGCCCTGGCCTACTTGCTGTTGAAGCCATCAATGGAGAAGTGAACTTTCTAGGAAAAGCCAACACAAAAGACTAGCTTATCTGTTTCCCCAACACCCACCTTTCCATTTTGTTCTAGTCAAGAATTGCAAATGGAAACATTTAAATATATAGCATCAACCTTTTCTACCTTTACTTACACTTGGAGTCTCATTGCTTTTCACTCCCCCTTGTAGGCTGCTTTCCTCTGCTTATCCCCATCACCAACCTTAATGCTTTCCAAGCCCCATACCCTGACAGGGCACTTTCTCCCACTCTTTCTTTCTTTTTAAAGATACTTTTCTTGCTTTCAGAGAAGAA